TCTGGACAGTTAAAGAACTGGCCCTCACTTGAAAACGTGAAGTCGTTCCAGTTCGAGGTGTATTGCCATCGCTGCGGGCGCCAACATTGGCGTTAGTGCCCCACTTAGCTGCCTACATTTAATAAAACTTCCATGATCAAAATGCATGTCCTTGGCGCGTCAAGGTCACTCATGCCACCTTGCGCGCACACAGCGCCCAAGGATTGGTAAAAAAGATGGTGACCTTGAAGCACGGCCTAACTGCACTGACCGCACGTGCCAAACCGAAATTTTAAACAGCAGGTGCCTTGCTTTGTTGCTCTTGATAACTCAAAGTTGTATGGGGTAGCGCTGAATGCTAATTCCTGTTGAAAAATTATGTTTTTTGGTATTTAAAGAGTCGTCGTAAGATGCAAGACCGTCAGGCAACAATCCCGTCCACGCCAAAGCTCCGATGGTAGATGCCCTGAAATTTGTTTTCAATTCGAATACTGATTATCTTACAGTCTTATCTCAAGGTATTTTCGTCACGACAGGATGCCGGCTTTTGAACCAGCTGCTTTCTAATCGCCTGCAAAAATTATTTCCAGTAAAAAAGATGGCTACTTAAGCAGTATGCCATTTTCTGTATGGTTTTCATTGCCTTTGTAAATTCAAATATATTTCACGAAAAAAAATTAACAATAATATTCTTGCTCATTCTTGCTTGGTAACAAAGTATGCCTTCCTCAGAATTGTATACTTGGAGAAAGGGTATCCTTCCGTGTTGCAAAAGTTTATAAATTGCCAAATTATTTTGATTCCTACCGGCCATTAAACTTGAATCTGAGGTTCCCCAACTACATGCTGTATAGATTCTTTCTTATGAAGTGTACATATTTCCTTAAGGTTTGAGGAAGAGGTCACATATTTCTTATAAAAATTTGCAATGAATGCCGATCATCTTGTATACTTGATGGATAAATTGTTTTATGAATGAATATTCCGCAGTTGTAAAAAATCTCGTGATAATAATGTTTTTTTCAAACCAGAAGATACCCTCTTTTCAAGTGTAAATTTGAAGAAGATGTAATCTGCTACCAAACGAGCATAAGAAAGAATATTTTATGCATGGTTTCTGTAAAACAGATTGAAATGTACAAGGGCAGTGAAAATCATTTAGAAAAACGCATACAGCCGACATGCTGACATCTCTCTTGTGCGCTCTAAACGCGCCGCATGTAAGATGCGCTGGACCAACACTGGGGCCAGATCAGAGTACGGCAGGCTTTATTCGTGTTTTACGCCGATCTCCTTCCAAATATGCGAAGCCTCTTCACACAAGCCGCCAGATTCACTGCTCGTTATTACTAATCCGCCTCTGACGGACTCGGGCTTGAAAGTGAAGGCAGAGCAGGAAGACCACGGCAGAGAAGTAAACAGCGTTTCCATGCCTGTTCTGCAGCCAGCCCTCGCAACTCTCCACCGAAACGCAAACATTTGCACTCCTAAACTCGAACGCTTAATTTATCTGGCAAATGGACTTTGGATTTCTCCGATAGTTTGAATTTTTCTCTTGTCACTATTTAAGAAAGTGGACCTTGGAGGACGCAGGCTTGGTGGGTTCCAAACTTAGCCGGCCTCTTCACCAAGAGGGGTAAATGCACGACTGTTTGAATGCGCGCTAGACTGCGGATTTTACGCACGGCGTGTAAAGTACCAAATTTACGATGAAGGAAATAAGCACGCGTTGGAACGCAGTCGATGATTTTGACGTAAATCGGAGTATTTGCCGGAAAATCCTATTACGCTAAGCCTCTGTGCATATGACTGCCGAATTAGCTAACAGTGGCTGGTTAGTGGACACCGACTTCGTCGAAAATAACAACCCGCTAAGGTCAGGCTATCATGGCATATAGAATATAGTTTATCGGATGAATCATTGCTGCCGAAATTATTTTTTGGCCGGAGAAAACATTCGCTCGCCGTCTGCTTGAAGCATTGAACAGTCCCGGATATTTAAGTTGACCCACTTGTGAAAAATTCGCGGCCTCGGTGGGATTCGAACCCACGCAGCAGGAAAGGCTTTTCTACAGCTAACGCTCCACCATTGAGCCACGAAGGCATGCCGAAGCTTTGAATTGAATCACACATGCGTCGATATACCCGTCCAATCTACTGGTCCTGTGTAATCCACCATTACGAATACAGTAAGCTGACTGCCCAGGCAGGATTTCCTAAGCAATTATTTAGAATTCAAATCTACCAAAACTCCTAATAGTTCCAGGTAGGTTAAGACGAATTTGTTGTACAATAGGCAGATTTAAGGACAGCATCTGCTCTAGCATCGATTCTAAGCGCTGGATATTGAAAATTCTTAGAAAGGGTCTACGTATCCCACGCGATATCTTCCACGCTAGAATAATCCGCGGCTAGCGGTAGTTCACCGGACATTTTCCTCTTGACAGTTGTGGATACTCCACAGTGTGCCTATAAGCTGAGCTGACATTTCCGGTTTTCGACTTTTTGCCTGGCAAACCATCCTTCAAATGAAAGGCACAAACATCGTCTCGAATTAAGCAGTTCATACTCTTTGTGTCAACACAGAGAGGATAATTTAGTCCATCCAAGAAAGACGAGTGGGATGGCGGGTATATATTTTGTCGTCCACCCCCTGATTTTAGTGTTGCTGCGTCTGCTCGAACACGACCGCCAGCCAATAGGCGTCGAGGAGATCATCAGTTGAAATCTCAGCTCAACACAGTGGGTTGTCACTTGAATTTTGGTACGCTGTCGTCTGGCTTGCTGAAGAAGCAACTCGGTCGACTTCTTCAGATCCATCGTCGCAGCTCATCGTACGTGGAGAGGTAGAATCTGCAACGTCATGGAGGCCGGCTAGACCAGGCACAATCACAATCGTAGCAAGTGAAACATCCACTACTAATCCCGAAAGAGGCTGCCCAAATTCAATGGCAACACGTGATTCTATAGAGAATGTGTTGAACAGTCTTAGCGAACTACGTGACGATATATTCTCAGTTTTCAGCTCCCTAGAGGCAATAAGTTGAACAACGAATGAACACGAAGGTGTAGTAACTAGCTCCGCACGAAGTGCACTTGTGAAAGCTTGTCGTGGCTAGCTCAAGTCGAAGTGCACTTTGGGAACGTTTGCTGCTTCCGGCCTCTGGAACGACCAATCAGAGGCCGACTCACACAGGACCTCATGTGACGACTGCCGAGCAGACATCACTCCAGACGCCGCCCGCTGGCTTGCGGTTGTACAGTCGTCTAATAGTCAATTTCCTGATACCTATTCTCCCATTTATTCTATGCAGAATATACTTTTCATACCGCTCTGGCCTTCCCGTGACTTCTCTCTTCTCCTAAGGAACTGGGTCTAGAAGATCGCAGCTCTTAGGGTTAAACCTTATTACTCTTAACAAGGGTTTGTGTTCCAGGTAATTGCATGAATAAAGGAGAAGACTCGCCGAGCACTAGAACAATTTGTTTATGATTCCGAACGTCCGAACTCGCAGAGATAGCAACAGCAGCAAAGAATGACAATTATAGGGTGTCCAAGCCAATCGAATTTCAGTGACAAAGGTTTGGAGGTGACTGCGCAGGGCTCTCTACGCCGACGCCAGATCCATGCCTCGATTGACTGACTTCACGCTCGTGCATCTGGCTCTTGTGTACGGCGTGAGCGATTATCTTGACGGCTGAGAAGCTGGGCCCATGGCCCGTTTTTAAGTGTGGGCAGTAACTTAGGATACTTCGTCCCCCCGATCTGTCGTACAGCCAGCTCATATTGGTGTATGTGCAATCCGAGCATGCATTCAGCTCGACCTGTCCAGTTGCAAGGACAGCTTCGGCATGGGATGCGATACGCTACCCCTTGATTGCCCTTTGGCATTTATTCGGTCTTTTATTTTCATCACCCTGCTGTGCATGTTAGTGCAGCAACGATGTGCTTAGTCGCTTATGAGAGGTAATGTACAGTGGAACAAGTAATATCCTAGGTGGTATTTCTGTTTAGGTTTTCCCAAGCCGAACGTATAGGCACTGGCTTATAAATGTCGTCAGATAGGCATTCAGTGGCGATGTCGGGCCTCGCGTACCCTTTCCTCCGACTTGCTGTAATGCGTCTGAATTCGTTTGATGAGCGTTCATACACCATTCGGATGGTTGCTGTGACATCGGAGAAATTGTGTGGTGTTCGTTGCCTTCCTGTAAACCGTTGTCTAGGCGAAGCTGGTGCCAGCAGGAAAAGCGCTGGGAATCGCAAATATTCATTAATCTTGCAAGGAAACCCCACAATTTCAGGGGCTTTACCATCTTCAAGACTCACAGACATTTGAATTGAATCTATCAATTCTGTCATAAATTTAATAGTCACTGTCCAGTTTGTCAAAATGTGAACTTGTGATAGCTTCCATTCTTGTGATAGTCTAATTAATGGACTCAGGCAAATTCGTCTCTGCTTTTAGCCATAACACTTCGTACAATATGAAAACTGAAAAATCATATCGATTTCTCACAAGAAACTTCAGTAACACGACCGGGAGAAATATACTTGATTCTGCGCCGGACTAGTAACACTAATTTTGGGAGGGTCAGTATATGTAAAAATAAACTTTTAAACATTACTATACTCATAAAACCCGAGTCAACTCGTGTGACGCTTCTCTCGGGAAAGCTGTATTTTTACTGGTCAATCGACTCTTACTTTTCATACGTATTTTGAATTTTAATCTAATTAGAAATCGTCTATTATTAATACGTTGTCTTGGGGATACCTCCACGCGGGTTTCAGGTGGCCTAAGTGGAGTCTATTGCATCTGCTGCATCACATAATGTACCTGGGACTTGCATACCTGTTGTTACTCAAAAAGGGAGGAATAATAAATTTCATGGATCCTTAGTTAAAACCAAAAATTTAGAAAAGAGGTAGTATCAGTAAAAAAACAACGCGCAAACGATGATGACGCCGGATAAGTATTTGTATTGCAAAATATAAAAGGTTTTCTACCTCCTGTTTAACATATAATGACAACAGATTCGGAGCAATCCTGTCACCAAATCCGTCAGGAATATCATTTTTAAGTGAAGGTTTGCCAACAGTCAAGGGCTATACGTTTTCTCTTTTTGCTACCGTTTTATGCAAAACCAGACTTTCCACGGGAAGGTCAGTCTAATAGACTAAGTGCTGTATTCTTTGAAATTTTCCAGTTCGCCCTAATAACCTAAAGGCAGGTTCTGAATCACCAGCTGTCAGACATAATCAATTAGGTGTGCACCGAACTTGATCCTTATTTACTACAGGTCGTAAAATACGGTCTAAAAAATCCGTTGAATAATGAACGTCCCTGACAGTGGTTTTAGTCGCACCAAGAAAGGGCAAACCAAGGTGCGAATTGAGTCGACTTCCACTTAAATCTCCCACGGACTATAACCACACAGCACCTCGCACTGATTTAGGTGTCTGTTGATGTAACAGCACCATTTGGCAAAACAGCTGATCCCAGTTAGCCACAGCAAGCGCGCCTGGAGTGTTAGGTAATTAAATTTGCCATTTGGTGCGCTTTCACTGTACTGCTTTGACCTTCCGCCAGCCTGCCAGCCCATTGCGCCGAGATTTCCATGACCTTCAAAAGTTCAAGGGCATTCACACTCCTGTAGAGGCAGAACGCATCTCAGTGCCGTAGGCAGTGTGCGCATCTAGAGTCAGAAATTAGCAGAAAAAAGGCTTTTTGACACGAAATTTCTCTCGGGTACTGAACCGAAGGGGATGATGTAACTTTTTATCTGTCAAAACTGTTTGACTGGATAAGGGGGCCGTCAATTTAAGAAAAACATGCTACTGGCATTTAGTTTTAGAAAGCTTTGAAAAACATGCTATTCGTGCACTTTCGTTGGTAGTCGTCAACTGAAATGTGTACAGGACCCAAAATGGTCCGTAAATAGGACTCCGTGTTGTTTTAGGTACTCCAAGGCATATATAAGGGTAGCTTTGACGACTGAAGGAGCAGTGAACGTCGAGTAATCAGCTGAACAGATTCTGGCTAGTCGTGAGATCTAGTCTATTGCCCCGAAGTTTCGATTTTTAGACAGTTCTCCGGTTCACTTTGAGCACTACAGTTTTGCTCCGCTAGTTGATGGTGACACCTATTCGACTGCCGGTTTCAAATTTATTATCGTAGAGTGGCCACTAGTGTCAACTCTTGCATGCGCAAGTAAACATAACAAATGACTAATCCGACAGGAGTTAGCCGGGCCAGTCAGCACTTACTGACTATGAGAAAACATATTCCTGATGTGAGTTTAAAACATCCGTAAATAACGGAATTTACAGCGAGCTCGTGGCTCAATTGTTAGAGTGTTTGACTCTGATCGAAGGGGTCGCGAGTTCGAGGCTCGGGTGGGACGCCACTGGGATCTGGGTATGACTGGCTGACGACGGCTTATAAGCCAGAAGTAGACTTTCCAGTCAATCTTGTCTTTGCCGATAATACTGTCTGCCTATACTGCCAGCTGTTACGGCTCTCAGAACCACTGACAGGGCCCAGGGCAGAACGGGGACAGATGAGTTCCGTTAGCAATTGGGTGAACGTCCATCAATCAGTGGATATCCCAAACGGTTCTTCTTCTTCCCCCACGACGAGCGCTTGGCCAACGTACAATCCTCTCCTGCTTAAGTCACATGCAGTTGCCAAGCTGTCCCTCCTGACGACGCGTAACTGGCATGCCTCTGAAGTGCTAGCTTAGCTCCGTGCGCTGTTACGCCAGTTAAAACGCAGACAAACCACCTGACTGCATTTCCAATCAACCGAGCACCTTTTAGTAGTCTTATTTTTCCGACTTGAGGAAATTATGGACCAAAAAAGCAGACATATGACCCAGGTTAGTGCGTAAATTCACGATGATGCTAATATATTTAGTCTCGTCCAGCGGTGTTCCGAATAACTGGATTCCACCATATTTACCTCGCACTCGCGGGGCGACCAAGTTTACGCAAACGGTTTACGATTTTCATCTTCTCCGACATCACGATCGTAAGCTGCGAAGCAAGTTGTGTTTAAGACAAACCCAAACTAAGATGCGCTTAACCAACGTGGGATCATTCTCCCAGGCAACCTTAGGAGGTGAAGAAAAGTGAGAAATATTTGAAATGCCAGTTCTGGTTTTGTTTGTTCTTCGACACTGCGGCAGTTTTAATACCCAGACCTGCACACATGTTCGTTCTAGTAGGGCAACTTTCTACTAGGTAGAAGGTATGAAATTCCAACATCTGGGACAACCTCCAATTCTGTCCGAATGTTTTGCGTGTTGCAACTGCTGGTAGCGTTCCTTCTTTAAAAATCTGTTTTTTTTCGGTTCGCTTGCTGCCCTGAAAATTATGTACGGACCCATGGTTTGGTGGCAGTTGACGTATCGAGATTTATTTGTTGCGATGCTTTTACTCCGATATAAAAACAGTTCGTGTGACGGGCCAACATTAGGGAGCAACCGCAAGAGGTTTGTGCCTAAGACGCCGAAGGCTATGAGGGTGAATATTACTCAGTATTGCTCATCGGACAGCCACATGGGTAAACTCTTTAAAAAAACCAATAACGGTGCAACAGAATTCAAAGGGGTCGACCTCGTGTGGATTAAAGCTGGTCATGACCTACTTCTATTATTACTGAAAAGGTATGGGTGGGAACCGTTTATATGGCTCACTGACAAGATATAGAAATAGGAACGCCTCCGTCGTAATGCATGTGGTATTGCACCAAACTGAAGGAAGAGTACCTAGTCCCCTGCCACAACCCTTATAATCAATCTAACCCAAACCTTAACCATAACCCGAATTTTAACCTTAAACTCATACATAACTCCGACCCTGCCCCTACGCCTAGCCTTAAAACCCACTTCAACTTTGTCCTTAACCCTAATCCCAATCCTGGCCTTGACCTCTCTCGAGTGTTGTGCCAGGCCAACTGTATTATGGGGCGTTCCAATACTCCTGTGCTGCATGAGGGTTGATTTGAGGTCAGATAAATTATTTCCGCCAAGTTAAGTGTTAGAATGTCTATAGTCACAATTATCTGCCGTCGATCGGGTTAAGTTCTCCGTTTTGTCTTCATCCAGGTACTTCACACTGTGCCCTTAATCCGGTGCGTATGCATAAATCAATCATTTCGTCCAGGCGCCAAAACGCAAAGTTCCCTCCGGTTTTTTTCCAGGTTCTTAAAGCACACTCCAAGACATGCGCGGCAGATGTGTAGACAATAAAGAAGAGGGAGGCATTTCTAATCACATATAACAATCCGCGCCGTGTAGTTCCACTGGGCCGCTTACCTAAGCCTAGACCGCCAGCACTGTCGAGAATTCTCTGATTGGCTCGTGCGATGTCGTCGAAGGTGATCGGCTGGGTTTTCCGACGCTGTCGCTCAAGTTTTGGAGTCTTTCCACCAGTTGTCCTTCGATTGAAGATGTTGCTTTTCTCTCGCACCGACATCCTTTAGGGTACAAAACAAGCAAATAAGAATTTTAGTTTTAATCGTTGAATTTTATCGACAAGAGGGATATAAGTAGAGGCAGCAGTTGTGCCGACGTGATAAAGAGGTCGACAACTAGAGTTTGTAAAAACGCCTGTCGGCAGAAAGTAGCTTAAAATCGTAAAGTAGTTGCCAGTGCTGAAAGAGTAAGACGGCACTGAAACGGAAACAGACAAGTTAGGCCCGTAAGCACAGAGTTCACAGCTGTGCGATGTCGGAAGCTACCTAACGTACGGGAACGAAATTTAAACACACTGATAGCGACCATAATTGGGGCATGCAAGCCCCCCCCTTATGAATCAATAGAATTGAAAGCATTTGAACAAAAAGTTTATTTTTGGCTAGTCCCGCCAGACCACAACAGAGTAGTTGTAACCAAAGCAAACATTTTCTTCATCATATGCTGTAATTGTAACTGCTGGGAACAGAAGTAATGATGAGCCTTGCAGGTCGTCCCATTTAAATCAAAACTAATGTGCAGAAAAACCTTTTCAAGCGTGAGTTTTTAGGTATAACGGGTACAGTGATAAGTATGACTAGAATTAAGTGTTTTCCAACAGGAATCGGTGGAAAGACTATTTAGACAATTGACCTTACTGAGAGACGTTTATTTTAGAAGCGACGGAACCACAATTATCCATAAAAATGAGGGTGACTATGCTTTTATTTTGAAATCGAGCAAATTTACGTGAATAACATCTAAATGACATTGGAACTATATTCATCAAAACATCAATGGGTTATACCATTGAAGCAAGAACTTGCCTTCATTGAAGGAACTTCAAAAGACCCAGATGGATGTAACTAGCAATTTTTAAATAAGATGGAAATCCAGAAATCAGCTGGCTAAAGGCCCAACTAAATATTGGTCAG